AGGAGGAGGAGGCGGTGGCGGCAGCGCCGCGAAAGGGAAGGCGGCGGCGGCCATGGGGGCGCGGGAGGCGGCGGGGCCGGGAGCGGGGCCGGGCTGGGCCGCGCTCGCCCCGGTCGCCATAGAACGGCCCCCGCGCGGCCTTCGCGAACCTTCCACGCCGCCGCGCCGCKCGCGCCGCGCTGATTGGYCGARYCGCRCGTCGCTCAATGGCAGCGCCCTTCGCGATTGGTCGGCGGAGCTGTCCGTCACAGYGACAGCCGCGAGGATTGGCCAGCAAGCGTGAGCGGGGGCGGGGGCGGACGCTCAGGCGCTGGCTGCGGGGATTGGTCGGCGGGGGTGTCGCTCAAGCGGAATGCGATGGTGGGGGGCGCCGTGGCGGCGAGCGSYGATTGGACAGCGCGGCGGAGGGCGGGAACSACAGCAGAGGCWCCGCCGCCATTGGCAGCGCCACGCCCCGCCCCGCGCCCCCGGACGGAGACGGCGGGAGACCCCGTGCCGGGATAGAATGACGCGCGGTCCCGACTTTGGCCGAACGCATCTGATTGGCTGACTCAGCTGTCGCTCAAYCAGCACGCGCGCTGATTGGTGGAGGCGGGAGTAAGGGGCGGGTGGRAGTGCGGCCCGCCAAAACCTCGCGCGAAGCATCGCGGGAGGTCGCCCCTCACAATTTCCCCCCCATCACACGCGCGGAGGATCATGGGAGCCGCCCCCTCACGGCCCCCCCCCAAAACCGGGTCTGTTCCCAAACCCCAAAAAACACAACGAGGCGCTCGGTAAAACCAGCGGCACTTTATTATTAAGAGTTTAATCCCCTCCCCCTGATCCGGGGTCTTTAACTCTTCCCGCATCCTTCTGTCTATGCCTTCCCTGAATCCCTCAAATCAAGGACACCCCTGAGTCGCTGTGTGGGGTCCCAAGGGTCTGGACTTGTCCCCCTCCAATCCGCTGCCCGAGTTCCCCCACCCCAAAATCCCCCAAATCAAATCTTCCATCCCCTCAGCCCCTCCTCCTGCACTTGTTTCACCCCAAATTTCTCCGCTCCCATTGGGTTTGATGCTGGGTCAGAGAAAGCCTGAAAACCCCCCCAAAGTTCCACTCAGGATCCCGCAAATCCTGGATTCTGGGTTTTCTTATGACCTTTTTGGGGTTCTCTGCACTAGGGCCAGGCTGGTGGTCCCAAATCGACCAGGTCTGGGGAAGGATTTTGAGATTTTTGGGCATCCCTATGACCCTTTCCAAGGTCTCTTGAGGAAAGGTCTCCCAGCTATTTTTGGGGTCCCTAAGTGGTTTTTGGGGGGGAGTCCAAAGGACTCTTCCTGCGGGCTTAAAAAAGGGAAGGCTGCAACTGCAGCTGGGGCAGATCYRGGCTGGGATTTTGGGATTTTTGGGGTCCCCTATGACCCTTTGTGGGGTCTCTTGAGGAAGGGCAGGGGGGGCACTGGCTCTCCCAGCTATTTTTGGG